GTCAAGCGGCTTGCCGCTACACCTCGGCGGCTCCACAGAAACGAGAGTATAGAATCGGGGCCCTTTACAGATCAATCAGAAGTAAACTTTGAGTCTTCTTCCTGTTCTTCACTTTGTGTTTATACCGCTTCGGCTGTCGAGAGAGATACAGAGTTCTCGTTTTTGGTCTTCTGGTCGCCTTGACAACACAAACAGATCGTACTCTTGTAGCGACATTATCATCATCACGTGCCGTCCGGTTGCCACCCTAGAGATCACCAGGATCAGATCACTGTTCTTGTCTCGCCCTAACCAAAAGGCTGCTAAGCCATCCAATTATTTATCCTTTCCCTTGCTATCATTCCTTCAATTTTGCCAGTTGTTAACAAGTTCCTGAGTCGAGTTCTCCTCAGAGAGACTTAGCATCGTGTTCTTTAGAGAACGTCGCAGGATCGACCCCCTTATATTTGGAGGGCGGGGTGGGGTGGGGTGGGGGGGGGGGTAGGGGAGCTGTTTGTGATTTCACTAGGCAATATTTCGGGTTAAACGTTACTTGAGGTCGATTAATCAGAGGTGAGCTACGCTGAAGGTCGCCCAATCAGAAGTGAGCTAGTGTGTAACATTGTGTAAAAAGAGATACTAACATTTGTTTTACCATATTTCGTTCAGTAGTTCACCAAGCTTTATGCTTCTCCCGAAAGCTGTGGTATTTTATTGCTACTCAGTGTAAGCATGCTGATTGTTTGCTCTAAATTTGTGTGTGTGTGTGTGTGTGTCTCTCTCTCTCTCTCTCTCTATCTCTCTCTTCCTCTCTCTCCCTCTCCCTCTTTCTCTCCCTCTCTCTCCCCTCTCTCTCCCTCTCTCTCTCCCTCCCCTCTCTCCTCCCCTCCCCTCTCTCTCCCTCCCCTCTCTCTCCCTCCCCTCTCTCTCCCTCTCCCTCTCTCCCTATCCCTCACTCCCTCTCTCTCCCTCTCTCTCCCTCTCTCTTATACTCCTTCCTCTCTCTCTCCGTCTCTATCCCTCTCCCCCTCCCTTTCTCTCCCTCTCTCCCTCGTTCTTCCTCCCTCTCCCCTCTCTCTCCCCCTCTCTTTTTCTCTCCCCCTTCTCCCTCCCTCCCTCTCCCTCCCTTCCTCTCTCTCCTCTCTTTTCTCTCTCCCTCTCCCCCTCCCCCTCTCCTTTTCTCTCTCCCTCCTCCCCCTCTCTCTCTCCCCTCTCTCTCTCTCCCCTCTCTTTCTCTTTCTCCCTCCCTCCCTCTCTCTCTCCCTCTTCCTCTCTATCTCTCTCTCCCTCTCTCTCCTCCTCCCTCTCTCTCCCCCTCTCTTTCTCTCTCTCCCTCCCCTCTCTCTCCCCCCCCCCTCTTGTCCCCTCCCTCTCCCTCTTTCTCCTCTCTCTCTCTCTATCTCTCTCTCTCTCTCTCTCTCTCTCTCTCTCTCTCTCTCTCTCCAAATATACCACAAACAAGGCAAAATGAAAACCACATGTTTGTTTATGTTTAAAAAAAAATTGCAAGGGCATGGTTATTAACAGGTTGCATTCTAAATTTCAACAACTTACATGAAACGGTTACTGAAGTTACAGATTTTGAAAATTGAGAAGGGACTGTAGAAATCTTCCAACGCATGGATGAAACAAACTTGATTTCTCATTTATCGTTCTAAAGGTTAAAAATGCTAAAATTCAATGTGTCAATATTGTTATGGATAAAGTTTTGTGCTGTCCCGTACTTGACGTCATCTGTGAACGGTGCGGGTTAGAAATTGTTGATTCACTGGCTCATTTGCATATGTGATTGACAGTCGCTGTCTTTCGCAGGTCAACAACGAACAAAGGGCAGTCAAGCAGACTTGGCCAGGTCCTTTGTGGAGAAAATGGAGACTTGGTTGTGTTTCCACTTCTGTGTTTGCGCAAGTGTTTATGAGCCGGCAGTTCCAAATGTGGAAAACATGCTTCTGTTGAATACTAAGTACTGGTTCCAGTCTGGCCAGACTTTCTTGCGCTGGTATAATAATTACAATCACACCAACCAGTTGACATTGTGTGAGAGCGTGTGTGTGTGTGTGTTTGTGTGTGTGTGTGTGTGCAAAAAATCTTTGATGTTAAATATATTCTGACTGAGACATCATCAAATTGTCGGCTAAGGTACCGTGACAACCTTCCCCCCACCTAATTTGTCCCCTCTCCGAAAAATCGGCGATTTGGTGCTGGGAGCTGGGGCATCCTCCCAACAGATAATGCTTAAGGGGTTAAGCGGCTCCTATGACTTAAATAACCATCATCATGTTGCAGGTCATTTGCAGAACTTTCCTCTCCTCACTAATCTTACTTTGCTCTCCTCGCCAATCTTCCTGAAAAAAAAAAAAATTAACTTGGTCGCTGGCCAGCTCTCCCGACTCATGCACTTTCCTACCCAAAGTGTCACTTTTATCCTGTGCCCAGTTCACTGGCTGAAACTCCGGCAGAAGGTTCTGGTTGTCTGTCTATTTCTGTACTTGGTCTTGTTTCAAAAGTTCAGTTGTGTGTGCATAATCGTTTTACTGAGCTGGCTTGTTTGTGTGCAGACGGTTGGTTCCTCAGCTCTCTCGTGATATGCACTCCGGCTTCAAAGGAAAACAGAAGAAAATAGTATTTGTCACGGACGGCACTTGAGTATGCTGGGCCGCATGCCACCCGCTAGTCGTAAGCTTGACATTCCTGCTTTAAGATCATGGCAATGTCTGTGTTATATCTGCGGTCTTGTTGCCTCTGTGGTACATGGTTCTTGGCAAGTAAAGCGGTGAGGAGGATAGATGGTCATCCTACCTCATTCTGTCTAGGGTTAGTGACTTCAAATAGAGGTCCCTTTCTGTGCCCGTGCCGTAGTGGGTATATGATGTTAGACTTATATTTTGTATAGACCATTTGGTGGGTGATGTGATCAACGTCACCAGGGTCGCCTTTACTTCCCAGGACATTACCTGGTACTATTTTTAGGCTTGATCGACTTGGGAGACGGGGAGAGGGTGGTGAGGGGGCGGGAGGTGACTTGATGCGGATTTTAACATAAGACTTTTGCACCGGCAGGCAGGCAAGAGTCTAGCGACTACACCAAGTAATTCTTAATAGACAACACGGTTAAATGGTGAGCAAACGCCACGGCCGTTAGTTTATGCCTGTATCCATCTTGATCCCATGGCAGAACAATGCTGCAGTGGATGACCAAATCGTCTTAAGTGCCTTGCCTTGCTTGAAGCTCTAAATGAGGCTGCCTACCACGCCTCCTGTGTGTCAGTCTGTGAACCTAATTATCACCATTTCCATCTATCCGTCAGACGATTACCCACATCCAGTCTATACCTGTGATACACCTGTCACTTTAAGAAAATCAAAGCAATATTTTCCAGTTGTATATTTCAACAAAGACTACGCTGCTCTGTCTGTGATCAGATTTTAAAACTACTTTTATTCCAACGCCACCAGTGACAGAAACAGTATCGACGTACGCCAAATGTAATCAAATATTACCAATTTAAATACGTCTCTAATGCTGCATATGTGGGCCGAACTGATCGTTGACTGAAGAAACGGTTCGCTCAATATATTTCAGTATGGGTGGTAGAAGCAATGCAAAATACTAAGAACAACAGCAACTCAATAACGGCGAATCGGATGACTAGTCGAAAAGATCGCCCGTCAATCATTTAGCGCCACCTTTTGAATTCTCGGCACATTGTAAACAAGGACGAAATTTTAACTCTGTATACCTCGGCCAACCGCAGACTTTAAAGATTCCTGGAAGTAACGCTATAAACCGGTGCAGTCCAGAATTATGCTGACAAAAATACATGGTCGTCAACTGACGGTTACCGTGGTGAAACAGGGAACTACTTTGGTAATAAAGTCGATTTTCTGTTTCAGTTAGAAGGATTTACTGATTCGCTTCATTTTAATCAATTGTTACTGTAGTAAGCACCTGACAAGATAGAGTGAACTATATCAGGCAAATCTATTGTGCAATTTATCATATATGTCTTCTTTGTTCAAAAACACCTGTTCTTGTTTACTTCCTCAGTTCATCTGCAACACCCGGGCTACATGTAACGGAACGGAGAGCACAATCAATGATACGCAGACCGCCTTGAACGAGACAGATCTGCAGTACGTTCAGTTGCGACCTGTACACATGCAGCTAGGCAACATCCTGAGGTTAGTCATCATATTTTATGTCTTGTTTGTATGGTCGGTCATCTTTAAGTGAAGTGTGTGCGTTATTGGGGATGATGGTGATGGTTTTAGAGCAGTGGCAAAGCGTTCTCAATTCACATATGTGAGCGTTAGCATGTAACGGTTACAATAGAGTGAACTTAAATGAAAGTACCCTTAATCCCAAAACCCTGAGAATCTGTAAAGGGGCTCGAACTCCTCCTGAGAACTCCACCCCAGTTGTTTCCCCTCTGTGATTCTTAGTTCTGGTACCTCTCCTTCCAGCGAGACACTGGATAAGGACACCCGACGCCTGCAAACACACCAGATAGGGGATCTAGTGACAGCTTTGTCAGTCTGTCCAACATGTCCCTCTTCTTCTGCATTCATTCGAAGATAAAAATTGCGCTGTGCCTGTTTACAGCACGGCTGCGATATTTACGCCTTTTGGCCGAAACATCCGACTTCCTCTGCATTTGTTGACCGGGACATCGTTCCGGGAAACAGGTTCTAAAACACGCCATCGATTACCAGTTGTGTGTGTGTGTGTGTGTGTGTGTGTGTGTGTGTGTGTGTGTGTGTGTGTGTGTGTGTGTTTGAAACTGAAAGTTAAAAATTATAAGGATCAATTTATGTGTGCATTGATTGCATTTTTTCCGTCTTTCCGTGAAAAAAAAAAAATACAATTATTATTGGCGTCTGAACAACAAGAACTGTAATTTAACTTTCCATCAAACATATTTTCGCTTGTGACGGATGAATTCTTCCCAAATTATATTTTTATGCCTTCCTTTCTTGTTCAATGAGATGCTATTAGCTCCATCTGGCTGCACTCTTTTCAGGTTTGTGCCCTTGGACTTGACCTTTCCGTTGCCCATCATGCCCTACCTGGTGGATGAGCTGGGTTTTATCACGTGCAACGTGTCACGCGGGGAGCGGATCATAGCAGCAGAGACCAACCAGTCGTTTGATGTTCCTCAGAAATTTCTGCAGAGCGGGTCCAATTATTTCATCGGTAAGGTTTTTGTATGTGCGTGTGGCTTGCGTGTGTGTGTGTGTGTGCGCGCGCGCGTGCGCGTGTTTGTGTGTATTTGTGTGTGTGCGTTTGCATACGTGTGTGAGGGCGTTATATATGTGTGTGTGTGTGTGTGTGCATGTGCGTGTGTATGTTTGTATGCGTCTGTGTGTGATGCATGTGTGATGTGTGTGTGGTGTGTGTGTTTGCATGCGTGTGTATGTGATGTGTGTAAATGTGTGTGTTGCGTGTATGTGTGTGTGTGCATATGCGTATGTGTATATATGTATATATGTGTGTGTGTGTATATGTATATGGATATGTGAGTGTGTGCAATGGCATGTTTGAATGAAGTGTGTGTGTGCGCGTGTATGTGTGTGATAAAAATACATCTGTATTGCCACAGTCAAATGTCTTTACCTGCGTTCCATGGTCGTATCTTGGGAACATTTGGAGAAACAAATGGGAGTGGCTGAGGTGCATGGGTAGAAATGGACCTATTTGTTTAGGCACTACGGCACAAGTCTCAGTGAGTTCAATTTTCTTAGGCACCTTCAGGGCCCCCTAGAAAGTGTCTGTAGGGATTCAGCGCCCAGGTACTGTTCTTTAATTTCACCCCATCTCCTGGGCTCCGAGATTTCGAGCTAATTCTTAGGGAATTCATACATAATGGAAAGGCGTTCATAATAGGGAGATTAGGGTTTCTTTCTTCTCTTTCTTTCTTTCGCCAGACATAGATGATCTATATCTGCAATATTATCTCTAGTATGAACTTAACTGCCATCTATAGTATGAACTTAACTGCCATCTATAGTATGAACTAAACTGCCTAATGTAATTAGCTCAGTGGCCCGTTAAGTTTGCTTTTAGACGGTGTTTCTCTTGGCCAGAACTTAAGGACTGGATTGTGAATTGGGGATGTTTTGGGGCGGGCACCTTAAAAGGGCCGCCTTGGAGTGGCAGCAGGGGAGTGTCCTGAAAAGGAGCGACAGTCTCCATGTATGCATACCAGTGAGTTAGGGTTAGGGTTTGAGTTAGGGTTAGATGCAGCAATGCTGACCGTTCAAAGGAAAGTCATGGCGAAAGCCAAGTCACGAAGTAAGAACAGCGCCTTCGGTACTATATTAATATCCTACCCCAAGCAGGGGTAATCCACAGGTCACGGGACGGTCTAATATTTCAGGGGATGGTAGACAGGCTGCATGTAGTCGTGGGATCTAGGCTGTACTCTCTCGTAGGACGTAGGTGGGTTTGGGTTTTTAGGCACTCCTGATAAATGGCCCTTAAAAGCGATCAATTAAGATTGCTGAACTCGAATGCGTTGCGCAGAAAGGCGCACAAATACTACAGCCTAGCTGTAAACCACAAAGAAGAAGAAGAAGAAGAAGAAGAAGAAGAAGAAGAAGAAGAAGAAGAAGAAGAAGAAGAAGAAGAAGAAGAAGAAGAAGAAGAAGAAGAAGAAGAAGAAGAAGAAGAAGAAGACGGATGAGGAAAAAAAAGGACAAGAAAAAACAGAAGTATTCGATATATACTTTTTGTTATTGCATAGTTAGCCATTAGAGGTTTATCTTGTCATGTTTCTTTTATGTCATGCAACAGTCGACTCTGATCTACATCCGGTTGTCAGTTGTCACGCCGGGTTGAGAATTAACGTGACAGTCAATCCAGCTCCTGCCACGGGACCTACGGGGCTTTATGTAGCGGTTGGGGCCTCTGTGTGACCTACCATAGCCAGGTAAGTCGGCAGCTCATTAAGTCGCGGTGATTCATGGGTAAATAGTTTAGTTGGTAGATGGGTTGTTTGGTGGGTTGTTGTGTGGGTTGGTTGGTTGATTGGTTAGAAGGTTGGTTGAAAAGTCCATGAAAGGCGGCAGTCTTTAAACTTTAAGACCGGTGCAATGATATTTAGGCCGTTAGCTGGCACTTTTCCTTTTGTCCAGGCGATGGTGTTTTATGGAGGCCTGGAAGTTAGTGCCACCTGTCCATACATCACAGCCTAGGCAGTATTTTAGAGACCACGTGTTGCCAATTCAGCATGATCTCTCTCTCGGTCTGCCTTGTTTTATCCAGTGGAAAGATAGCATTACTACTTCTGGAACAATCAAATCAATCAGTCAGCTTGTCCTTTAAAAACAAAACTTCGCTTTCTTTATGACACGTCTGAAAGTATCTTTTTCTAGCTAGTTCTACAACACTGTGTGCTTTCATAGCCAATTTATCTTCAATGGAATGTATCCACCTTCTCGGTGGTCAGCTCCTGTATCGCTGTCACGTGACTGCACCCTCCATCATCGTTCTCAATCGACCGCTGCTGCAACTGACATTTCTCAAACTTTCGGGAGCGGATGCCTTTTACGAGCCAGTTCTCCTTGATGTTCAGGTCATGTAGGATGTCCACGATTTTCTTATTCTTGGTCCACGGTGTTCTAAAAATTCTTCTGTAGCATTTTAGGGCAAAAGCTCCGATTTTAACTTCAAAGACGGAGTTAGGGTCCATGACTGACAACCACGGGAAAGATGCATGATCTCGAAGTGTTTACTCTAACTTGCTTGCAGGAGGGATGTCCCGTGAGAGAGAGAGAGATATGAGAAATATTGACATCTTAGAAGATCTGAACATTAAGGAAGCTTGGCTAATAAACCGCATCTTTTCTCGAAAGCTGAAATATTTTGGTCATATCAAGCACCACGACGGATTGGAAAAAAAATTATAGCAGAAGGCATGGTACCAGGAAGGAGGGGCAGGGGCCGACCGACACGAAGATGGGCACAATATATAAGTGACTCCTAGAGTTTGAAAGTGCACGAGGCGGGCGAACTGGCCAGAGACCGAGTTTCTTTCAGACAGACTGTGATGAGAGCGACGTTCTGCAAAGGCCCTGCTACATAATGATGATGATACATACCTATATATATATATATTAATGTAAGCGGTAGTGATCAGGGATGAGTGTTTATAAGTTTTTAAGATGTTTAAGATGTTTAAGATGTTTAAGATGTTTAAGATGTTTAAGATGTTTAAGATGTTTAAGATGACGCCTTTCTAAGTTTTATCAACAAAACTGAACTCAGTGTAGTCCCTCCAGCAGGGGACCGCGTTAGCACAGTCAATAGGAGACTCGCTTTCAAATCCAGCTGCGACTCGCTGCAGCCCCCTGCCGGTGTTCAGAACCAGGCGGTTCCCGGGGTTCACCCAGCCTCTAGGTAATGGGTACCAGAGTTAACACACTGTGGTAAATGGAGGACAGTCGCTGTAGCTACGGAGTTACTCGCGAACGGCGACACAGACGGACAATTTCCTATCAGCTGTCCGTACTGGTGGCAGAGCACTTATGGTTTATAACCGTGTGCTATAACGCTGTTCACATCTGATTTTTCTTTTACATTTATGAGTCGCTGCTATTAAAAAATTCCTTTTTTTTTTTTTTTTTGGCACCTCTTTCCCCATTCAAGTTGCGGCCAGGGCGTCAGCCTACGTATCATACCCTAACTACGCCAATGCTTAGGTATCAATTCCTGTACCCGGGTGTTGAATTGGCAGGAAAGAGTGGAGGGAGGAATAATACTGTAGTTGGGACATCTGCTGAGGGTAAAGCTTAATCAGCCAGTATTGTATGTTTGTGTGTGTGCGCGCGCGTCTTCATTCACACAAACACAGAAAATCATTGTGTGTACACGCCAGTCCTCGTACTTGAATTACGACTTTTCTCTCAGAATAATTCACTTCCGTTGCAGCCATCTTTCGACTGCCATTGCTGCGGAAACTACAAGGGAGAGAACTGTGATATATTTGACTCCTGTCTTAGTCACCCCTGCCAAAATGGCGGGAGTTGTTTGCACCCAAACAACGACTCGCATGAGTTTGCTTGTGAGTGTCCCCTAGGTGAGTATTGTGTGTGAGGGAGGGAGGAAAATGAGGAAGGAGAAGAAGAGGAGGATTGTGTTGAAGGACTGTATGCTTTCGGGAGAGTATGAATCGATGCAGGATTGTATTGTGAGCGATCGAGAGAGAGAGAGAGAGAGAGAGAGAGAGAGAGAGAGAGAGAGAGAGAGAGAAAGAGAAAGGGAGAGAGTTGGAGAATCTGTATGTAAAGAGATATATCTCATATGGAGAAAAATGAGAGGGAAAGAATACGTATATATATATCTAAGTTGTATAATAGTATATATATACATATATCTAAGAAATCACACAAGCGATAAACACCCGGTGACACAAAGTGACCCCACGCGGATGAGGATTACCGGTGGATAAATCTCGGAAACCCCGTTTAGCCGTTAGGCCATATTTTAGAAGTTGTAGGAGCAGAAGGGCAATGCTCTATCCTCCTCTCTGAGCCGCCCTCCTAGACCATTTGCCCGCCGAGGCTAAGGGTCTGGTTTGCCTTGTGATAGCATAACGTTTTTATGTTGGTTGCATTTCCTCTTCCTAGAATAAGGCTGTTGTGCTTTCCACTGTGCTCCTCCGCCAGAAGTCATTGGCACAATGTGGAGTGTCAGGTTTAGACATGCCATCCAACAATCAGCGCTCATGCATAGCTTCACTACAACACGTACGCCTGCAATTATTTTGGTTCCTCCATCTTTCTTTCTGTCTTGTCGTCAAAAAAATGAAGTCACACAAACAACAACAAAAACCCAGATTACTGCGTATGAATGTGAAATGGTGTAAGACTTTACAAATTCAAGGCCGTAACATAGAAGATATGTGATTTACTTTCTTCCATCATCACCAGTCCCCCCCCCCCACCCCACTCCACTATTCCCCAGGCCAGTTTGCCCGTTCTTTCGTTGTCCACAACACACGCATCTGCTAGAACGAAGATAGTCCTACTCTACAAACAAATGTATGTTTAATCGTGTATACAACTGACTTCATTCTCTGCTAATATCTAGTCTTGAATGCAATATCAACTTTGTGTCTGCAGGATTTTATGGAAGCCATTGTGAGAACCAGACGGAAGACCTCTGTGACGTGGTGGACTGCTACAACAACGCCACCTGTACTGGCAACAGCACCAGCTTCTACTGCAGCTGCCCAGCGGGGTTGACGGGCACTCACTGTGAGGTGGACATCAACGAATGCGAGTCGCTGCCCTGTGTCCACGGAACTTGTGTCGACAAAAGGAATGGGTTTACTTGCCATTGCGAGCCAGGTAACAACCGTATTTTGAATGTATGATGACCCTGTGCAGTCATTTATTGACGCCCACTCTTCCCTCAGATAATCGTTAGTATCATATTCGTTTACAGACTACAAACAGTATACTAGGCAATTATTGTCTTCAGTTTTAAAGTGCAGTCAATTATAATAGGTAGCTGAGTACAGAACAGATACAACAAATAGAGGTGGAAAATATAAACATTAATCTGAAAAGAAAGAAAAAAGGTATTACTACAATTTAATCTTGTTCTTTTTCGCCCACCCTTTATTTCCTAGGTATAGGCTCCCAACCAGCTCTCGCCGTATCGTTTTATCATTTGCTATTGCCTACAGCTCATCCCATGTCTTCCCTCTTTTTTTAACTTCACTCCCATCTGCCTTCTCCTATGTTCGTTTGGTCTGCATTTATTTCTGGTAATCTGGTTGGTAATCTGGTAATCCTAGTTTCAGCTTCATAGCAAACGGGTCACCCCACAGTTGTTCCGCTCCTGTGCCAACGAAAAACAAACGCAGCTCACAGTGTCACGCCATGCACTCAACTCAGAAGCTGGGCGACGAAACTACATCCTTCCAGTCTACAAATGGAGCAAAAATGCAACGGCCACCGTCTGGCAGAAGAAGAAAAAAACATTTGCCACGGCTTTAAAAAAAAAGGTGACCGTGCTATGCGTCCATTTTGACCGGAAGCATTATATGAGGGTTGATCAACGGTCACCCCAGCAATACCCTCCTTATTAGCTGGGGAAGGGACTTAGGACATTACATCCACCAGCAGGCGTCGCCCCTACAACGACCTGCCTGCCATCGTTAACGACTGTTCACCCAACAGCCATGCAGTTCTTTGGCACAAAGGAGACACCTTGAACTTGGGTTTCGGACTGCCGACTCCCTACAAGATGTTTTTTATTTTTGTATCCCTGTGGGTTCCAGTGCACGGATATTGTAATAGCTAATGTGTGTGTGTGTGTGTGTGTGTGTTGTGTGTGTGTGTGTGTTTAAGAAAAAGCGGAGATATCACATAAATCTCTAATTTAGTGAGTCAAAAGTAAATGGTAGACATGCTCTATAATTTAATTGTTATATTCCGAAACTTGTGTAACTTAGATAAGTGTCTTTCTTCTCACTGTTGCGAATGCATTTATCATTTTCTCGAAACTGAGACTGAGTATAATGTTTGATTCTCTGGAAAGCACTGAAATTCTGTGACGAGTACTTGTAAATTAAACAGTCGATCCTGATTCTGTGGCGAGCACTCCAAGACTGACAAGTCGATCCTGATTCTGTGGCGAGCACTCCAAGACTGACAAGTCGATCCTGATTCTGTGGCGAGCACTCCAAGACTGACACGTCGATCTTGATTCTGTGGCGAGCACTCCAAGACTGACACGTCGATCTTGATTCTGTGGCGAGCACTCCAAGACTGACACGTCGATCTTGATTCTGTGGCGAGCACTCCAAGACTGACACGTCGATCTTGATTCTGTGGCGAGCACTCCAAGACTGACACGTCGATCTTGATTCTGTGGCGAGCACTCCAAGACTGACACGTCGATCTTGATTCTGTGCTGTCCGTTAATAGTTCTTTATCCGTTTTGAACTGAAACTGACCTTCTGCTACCAATGCCAAACCTGGTCCCTAACAAGAGCACAGGAGAAAAAATATCACGACGTGCGAAATGAGATGTGTGTACGTAAGGCTGCCAATGTCACAAAAAAGCGGACAAGTTTCGAAAACGAGAACATTAGAGCAATTGTAGGAACCACACCATGCCTGCAATACATAAAGAAGCAACAAATAGAGTGGTTGGCACACTTGATGCGAATGCAAACCGACCAAACTGTCTCTACTAGCATACAACGAACAGCACTACTGCCCCTAGAGCAAGAGCAGACCGAGAGTACGATGGATAGACAATATATCAGAGATCCTGAGGCAACACGGACTAACAAAAACACGTGCAACACACCTGGCCCAGGATAGAAAACTGCGACTCCCCACTACGCTGTGAGGCAATTGTGGACAAGACAAGACAAGACAAGACAAGACAAGACAAGACAAGACTGACCTTATAGCAGGAAAGTCGTAATTATTGAGTGAATTGTACACATTTGGATGGAAAACATTAATTTTCAATGAAGGCATCACAAGAGAAATGGAAGAGAGAATTACTTGTCACCGTATGACAAACATCATATTGTGAGATCTTACAAGCTCTTCAAAATGAGTTACAGATGAGAGTTCATGTCTGTTAGTTGAGTCTCTTTATATGACTTTCCACAACCAACCCCAGCATTTTTATTTTAGCTTTTTATGATTTGACTAGGTGATTTTACGTTCAGTAGTTTGCCACTGCTTCCTGAGCGGTCGGTTTTCGATACCATTCTCGAGACCAACGCAGGGAGGCATGCTGCCAAATCGCCTACAGCTAGAATCGAACCCGACACGCTGGCATTACAAAGCAAGTTGGCAGTGCCTAAATCACAGACGCCGTTCATGTTTTCAAAGATTATAATTTAAGGTTTTGGTTTATCATAAACATCACCAGAGTGGAAGCTATACAAATATGTGATGTTGTAGACCAGCTGTTCTCAACCTGCGGCTCGTGACCTTTTTTTGGGGTCGATCGACCCTTTCATAGGGGTCACCTAAGACCATCTGAAAACACAAATTCGTCGATGCTTGAAGAAGTAACGAAAATAATTGTGTGTTTGTGGGTCGCCACGGCATAAGAACTGCATTAGAGGGTCGCGGTTTTAGAAAGGTTAAGAGCCACTGTTATAGAGAAAGAGTTAAAACTGGTCTGAACAGTCCAGCCAATATTGGGAATTACACCAGGGCCAAGGAGTCGCCGTGGCAGAGCGGCAAGGCGCGCGCCGCGGATCGGAAGGTCGTGGGTTCGCTCCCTGATGGAGCCGGACTTTTTCAAAAATGACCTTGGCTCTCAGGTCGACCCAGCCTTGAGTGGGTACCGGGTGCAGTCCCGGGAAGTAGAGGCGGTCGGCGTGATGCTGACCACATCACCCATCGTGTGCCATTGGTCTATAAAAATATAGGTCTAGCCCTATATGCCCTATACGCCTAAAGGCGTGGAAAGGGTCCTTTACTTTTTTTTTTTTACACCAGGGCCAAGAACGAATAGTGCCTAAATGTTTAATAAAAGTCAAAGACCTTTTTTTTAGGACAAGTGCAGAAATGTAAGTATCTAGGCACATAGATAACGTCCGATGGAAGATGTATCTCAGAGGTAAAGAACAGACTAGGGCAGGTTAATACTGCATTTTACTAAATAAAGAACATTTTGCATAATAAATCTATGCCATTGGAAGTTATGAAAATAATTCTCATATGATATACTAGGCCGGTATTAACACACGGTTGTGAATCCTGGATAATGCATAAACAAGCCAAACACTATCTTGATGCCTCGGAGATCGGGTTCAAGAATAAAAGAATCCTTTGAATTCCTTGGACAGCTAAGAAGAGCAACCCAGATGTTTTGAAAGAGGCGAATGCTAAAATATGACTTATCACAAACTTGAGAAAGGGACAATCATAATTTGTTTGGTCATGTTAGGAGAAGAGGGAAACTGCACCATCTTATGACCACCGGAAAGAGCTGTAGAAAGAGAGACAATCATATTTTTGAAGGTTATGCTGTCAGAAGAGGGAAACTGGAACACGTTGTGATCACTGGACACATCTGTGGAAAGAGAGACAATCATATTTTTGAAGGTCATGCTGTCAGAAGAGGGAAACTAAAACACGTTGTGATCACTGGACACATCTGTGGAAAGAGAGACCGAGGAAGAAAACGTGAGAAGATTCTTACTAGCCTTTTGTCATGGCATGTAGGGGTGTCAGCACACGAACTGATAGACGCAGTGCGGATTTCAGATTGTGGAGAGGCATGATCGCTCACGCCAGTCGGCAAGACACTTGATGATGACACCAGGGCCCTTAAGTTTACAGTTAAGCTCACTAACAGTGCCTTAGCAACATGCTGTTTGGTTTGAATTTCAGCTTTTGGTTTTAAATGCAGGTTTCCATGGTGCAACGTGCTCCGACCGTCACCGGATGTGCTCCCTGAGTCCCTGCAAACATGGCGGATACTGTCACGAGCTGGACCAACCCCCAGGCCCCTTCCAGTTCACCTGTCACTGCCAACCTGCCTGGACGGGCAGGGATTGTACCACCAGAGTAAGTCAACAACAGGCTTCACTCGGTTTGCACACACAATAATAATAATGAATCTTTTTCTTCTTCTTCTTTTTCTTCTTCTTCTTCTTCTTCTTCTTCTTCTTCTTCTTCTTCTTCTTCTTCTTCTTCTTCTTTTCTTCTTCTTCTTCTTCTTCTTCTTCTTCTTCTTCTTTTTCTTCTTATTCTTCTTCTTCTTCTTCTTCTTCTTCTTCTTCTTCTTCTTCTTCTTCTTCTTCTTCTTCTTCTACTTCTTCTTCTTCTTCTTAAGAACAATGTTCCTGTAGCTTTCGATTTTGTAGACAGAAAATCCACCCTTTCATTGACTCGCACTCCTGCATATCTCAGACAGTATATCCAAGTGATCCCCTAGTATCCACTTATGCCACATTTGTCCACTTGGAGCCATCTGCACGAACGACTGAGAATCAGACACAATAATTCCTATGGTAACTATTTTCTAATATCCCTCTCCGAGCTGCAGACATTGCCTCCACCTCCATCCTTATGCTGAAGTTGGAGATAGAAAATCTTCATTTTGTTTCTGCCACAATCTTTGCCTTCACTCAGTGTAAAAATCCCCAGCTAGATCTTACACCCCGATAAACAAAACCATCAGTATAAACTACTGCATCACCTAGCCCAGCGTTTTCATCTGTCAGTTGTGACACTACCAGTTCTGCCATACCGTTACACAACTCTCTATATAACTTTCTAATGTGACAATGATCTGATGGCAACTGCTACTGTGGGTGTTTGTGTCGCCCCACAACGACAACACTTGTGACAAGTTGTTTTTGTGACTTCGCCACTTTTGACACATTTATGCTGTAGCTTTTGGCTGTCCATTGAATCTTCTTTCTTAAAAGTTACACCAGATTAATTAACAGATGGCCGCGATAAATTGTGTACCTAGAAAGGTCTCACTTTCACCAATGGACGTCTGACTGCTGAGATCGATCGCAGACGACTCTGTTACCGTGCGGTGACAGCCAGCCTTCCGGTGTTGCGATTCAGCTTCTGCTAAACTGGGTTTTTTCAAAATATATTGGGGGTTGGCGATCTCAGATCGATTAGGCTCTCTTGAAAGGTGAAAATACACAGCAGAATGACGTTTTTCTAGGATGCAAAAGCAAACAATTTTAGAGGCTTGTTGGAATTGTATATTAAAACTGTTCAGAGAAATGGAGAGAGGGAGGGAGCGAATGAGGGAGAGAGAGAAGGAGACAGGGGGGAGGGGGGGGGGGTTAGGAAATAGGGAGAGAGAGAGAATTTGTGTGTACTTTGGCTACATAAAAATATAGGACAGCATTCTAAAAACAAATGGCAGTAAAAGCTAACTATTACTGTCCTAAACATGGAACAGTTTGTAAACAGATATTGTGGGTGTGTAGCAACAATGGTGGCTCAAAGACTAGACTTTGGAACAGATATTGTGGGTGTGTAGCAACTATGGTAGCTCAAAGACTAGACTTTGGAACAGATATTGTGGGTGTGTAGCAACTATGGTAGCTCAAAGACTAGACTTTGGAACAGATATTGTGGGTGTGTAGCAACTATGGTAGCTCAAAGACTAGACTTTGGAACAGATATTGTGGGTGTGTAGCAACAATGGTGGCTCAAAGACTAGACTCTGGAACAGATATTGTGGGCGTGTAGCAACAATGGTAGCTCAAAGACTAGACTCTCGACTCTCAAACCGAGGCTCTAGAATGAGGGTCAGCAAAAAGGCAATTTAAAAAAAACAAACTTGGCTGCCCCAGCTGAAATGAATGCGGGGAAATCTGGTAATCTGGTAATCCTAGTTTCAGCATCATAGCAAACGGGTCACCCCATTGTTGCTCCGCTCCTGTGCCAACGAAAAACACTCGTAGCTCACAGTGTCACACCATGCACTCAACTCAGAAGCTGGGCGACGAAACTATATCCTTCCAGTCTACAAATGGAGCAAAAATGCAACGGCCACCGCCTGGCAGAACTGCCACGATGGCCGTGCCTAGCGTCCACTGTGACCTGAAGCATTATGTGAGGGGTTAACAAATGGTCACCCCAGCAGTACCCTCACTATTAGCTGGGAAAGGGACTTAGGACATTACATCCACCAGCAGGCGTCGCCCCTACAACGACCTGACTGCCTTCGTTAACGACTGTTCACCCAACAGCCATGCAGTTCTTTGGCACGAAGGAGACACCTTGAACTTGGGTTTCGGAATGCCGACTTCCTACAAAATGTTATTTTGTGTTTTGTTATCACAATCGACGTCACTGCACATTGGGCATACCCATGCGTGCGCAGTCCTCCGAAGCAGCAGCCACTCCAAAGTACTTCTACTAATTGTCCCCATGAGAAGCTGGTTATATTGTCTCTTTTCTCGGCCTCGCAGACGGCAAAGACGTGCTTCACCATGCTTAACTCCCATGTCACGCAATCGTGTTAGTGTCAGGGATTCGACATTATCCACTAGCCCAGTACGTACAGCGTTAACGATATCTGCTCTGTTTATGCTTTTTCCCGCAATCATTAGTGCAGTGCTTGCCAGCTGGTCCGCTCGCTCATTTCCCTTTACGCCCTCATGACCCGGTGTGTAGATCCAGGTTACGGAAGTTAAGTGCGATTTCCGAATGCTTTCTATCCATTCAGAGCGCATACTGCCTGTTGCTATTTTCTGAAGCATATTCAGTGAGTCTGAGACAATTACTGCTTGTGTGGCTGTTTGCTCGGATACCCATGCTAAAGCTCTAGAAGCAGCGGCTATTTCCATGGTCATGCTTGACGTGGTTGTCTGGTAAGCGCCGCTGTCCTCATGTATTGTTTTCCCCCTTCTTTGCGCTGTGTATGCCTATGCTGACCTTGATCCGCGCTTCACGGACCCATCTGTGTAGATGATGATATCTTCTGGGTCTGAATGCTGATCTATCAGTTCCCTTACTTCTGTGTCTATGGCCGCAGGAATCTGATCCCGACAGTACCTTCCTAGTGTGATGACAACCTTAGAGATGCCATGCATGTCTACTGGTGTATTCATCCATTCTTTTCCGTGCCTGATAACGCGTAGGTCACATACCTGCTGGATCAAATTCTCAGCCTTTGCCATCCAAGAGCGGCCTCTTTTGAGACGCGTTCCTTTTGTGTCGTATATAGCTTTGTGCAATGGGTGGTTAGCGTCTGCCGATACCCTCATGTAAGCCTTGACTTGTGCCACTTTGTATCTGCTAGTCATCGTCGGCAAACCCAGGACATAACGCATGGCGTTGCAGGAGGTGTCTTTTGTGCAGCCGAGTATGAGTCTCATGGCCTCATTTTGTACTCGGTCCAGTCTTTCTAGCTAGGTTTTGCTGACAGTGAGAAGGCCAAGACCATAGTCAATGACGCTAAGCACAAGCCCTTGATAGAGAAGGAAAAGTAGGCATTGTTCAATATCAGCTGCTGCTAGCACCTTGAGTGCTGTCAGACCTTTTCTGGCTCTAAGTATGACATTTTCTACGTGGCATTTGTATGACAAGCATCTGTCAAATGTCATACCCAGGTATTTCATGGTGTCCGTTCTCTCGATGTCCACACCACATATGCTTACGACTGGCGTTGGTGTATTGACGATGTGAGTATTTAGAGAGAACCATGTTAAGAAGGCTTTGGACGGGTTCACTTGAGCTCTTGATTCCTGGCACCACTCACTAAGTCTGTCCAGTTCGCGTTGTAGTGTGGTTGTAATTTCCTGCCTGTTTTTACCTCGACGGTAAACAAGGATATCATCTGCATACGACATTGTTCTACCTAGACCTACGCGTTGTGCACTAGTGACTCCTGCTGTGTACACATTGAAGAGCACAGGCGACAGTGGTGATCCCTGTGGCAGACCCATTAGGACGCGTTGAGGTTCGGATGCCCATTTACCACATCGAAGCGACACTGTTCTTTCAAAAAACGCTGCTGCGATCCAGTTGACCAACTTTGTCTCTATCTGCATATCCAACAGCAGTCTGATGAGCATTTTGTATGGGACGCTGTTGTACGCATCTTCTAAGTCAATAGCGGCTGCAGCAGTTTCCATTCCCTCCTGGAAACCCTCATATGTGTCGTAGGCAAATACTGCAGCATTGAACCATGTATCTCTTCCTGGTCGGTAACCACCTAGTGTAGCGGGGAATAGACCACCCGACTCTAATTTTTGGGTTAACGTTCTGGCAACGATTTTTTCCATGAGTTTTCCTACAGTGTTCTGAAGTGTTATGATCCTATAGCCATTTATTCTCGTGTGGTCTTTTCCTGGCTTAGGAACTGGTCTGAGATAGCTGTGGAGCCAGTCATCAGGAATAATGCCAGTTTTCATGGAATGCGGGGAAAGGTTCTGGGAAGTGAAGACGGTCGCCGTGATGTTATCCGTGTATGCTTATTGAGGCAGTTGGACTATAATAATACGAATCTTACATTATGTGCCATAATGCGCCACTAGAGTGTAAGGTTTTTTTTTTTTAATACCAACTTTGACTCATTATTATGCAACGCATTGCTTGTTATTCTGTCTAAGCATGATCCAATCATGCTTAAGATAGAGAACTGCTCTTCTGATCCGGCAGCTTCTGTAGCCTGCTTTGTTCCAAACCTAATGGTGTTACCTTTTCTTTGGGATAAACAAGACAAGTCGAGTGAATATGGTGACAAGTAAAGCTCTCTTCCATTTCTCTGTATTGTGTTGGCTTCATTGAAAACTAGTGCTGTCCACCCAAATGTCTACACTTCACTCAATAATTAAAACTGTCCTGCTATAAGGTCATTTTTAGTTAAAAACGGATGAAGAACTATTAACGCACAGCACATAATCCCGACTGACTCGTCAGTTTTGGAGGGCTCTCCACAGAATCAACATCAACTGGTCAATCTTGGAGTGCTCTTCACAGAATCAAGATCATAATGCATGGGCAAAGTATGGTCTCTACAAAGAAAAAAAAGACTAAACACATCAATGGTCCTGAACTCCCATGCTTTATTTGTGGAAGACTTTTCTTAACGCAGGCGGGTCTTGCTAGTCACACTCGCCATCGCCATGGGCTGTGAGTCCCATGCCTCCTCATAGCGCAATATAACACTATCATCTGGAAAGACGGAAAGGTACCAATCAATCAGTCAAAGCATACTTGTAAAATCTGATAGATGTGTCGAAATATGTGTATTACGTTTTGTGGTAAAACCGTTAGAGTGATACTTTTAGATGCAAGAAAAAAATGATCCTGACTTGTGAGTTAAGATGGCTGAGAAGATTGTCAATGCAGTTAGAAGCAGAAACAGAGAAACACGAGAGGAGCAACAGCCCACCTGGATCACTTCAGCATAGAATAAGGTGCTGCTTTATATAGTGAGATTGTAACCTCAACACTACCGTTGAAATAACAGGTTACACATAACACGGGAAACTCTTGCACGAGGAAGAACTGGGAGTAGACAGCTCTACAACATCATCGACGCCTTAGCATGATATAAGTCTGCATCAGCCAGCACAGCAACTTGACTCTCCAAAACATCTCCAGGCAAGGTCCGAACAAGCACTGGTTTCTCAAAGGAAGCACAAGACAAGACAACATATGACACACACTTATTTCCATGTGGATATTGTTGCCTTTCGGAATCTGCTTGGAATTCATAGATTGAAAGACTGAAAGACCTACGTCCTCTCTCACAAACGTGTACAAAAGTATCTCTTTCCTTCCTTCTTCCAGTTCACCAGCTGTATCATTCGGCAGAAGAGGTTGGTTATTCATGCACTTCTGGACTTTTGACTTTAGTCTTGCTTGCATATCCATTTTAGATATCTGGCTTATTTGGTGGGTTCCTTGTGTCTCAGAACGGCTCGAACTTCGAAGCAAACATCGATCTTTCTATGTTAGTCAGGTTCCCAGCAATGAATCTGTTTCTATGACGACTGCAGGGAGAGCTGTGGATGGGTCTTGAGCAGTGCGGGCTGGTTCTGCAGCACCAAGTGTGGTTCAGCACAGTTCAGGGCAACTGTCAGGGGGCTGCGGGATCTCAAGGCATGGCATCCGCCTCGAGTGCTGGAGGTCCCGGGTTCAAGCCCCGGTGAAGGCAAGGATTTTTTCACGTGGACTTCTGGTAATTTCCCCTGGTCTCTGGATAGTCAGATCGGAGGACACCTGTGGGTATTGTTGCGCGTGTTGGAAATCGAAAAGAGTTGCCTAACGGCGCTGCCGGGCTAAATTTATAGTTACCAATCCACCCAAAGTATTTCAGGATCTTCGCCTGTGCTACGGATCTCGTGCACTGTGTTGAGCTGCTTCAAACTCAGGCTTGAGTTAGAAGTAGAACGGAGCACTTATGGGTTACACCCGTGTGCCATGATCCTTTGAATAAACCATTATGCCAATAAACGAGTCAAGTGTTGTGACTTTTTGTTGGTGATGATGGCTTTAACTTTCTCCAAAGGATCTGCTAAACAGTTCTATAAACAAGTCCGATGATCTCTGTACTAACAAGGCATTTTTTCTTGTTGTCCTCAGGTGCCAGCTTGCTACCCCAACCCATGCCTTCACGGAAAGTGCATTGAGGGAAAAGACAGCTTTTCTTGCATCTGCTCTCCGGGATACACAGGTTTGTTTTAATTCTTCTGTTTTTTTTTTTTTTTTTTTTTTTTTCCTGACTTTTGTCTTTTGTCACATTGAGAAGACACCGTATGTTTTGGTTTTGTTTCTGAGGCTAGCAGGATATCAGTCGAGATTCCTGGTCACCACATAATTGCTCTATTCCTTTGCCAATGAAAATCACACAAAATGTCTATTTATGTCCAATATGAAGAGTCATACTGATAAGAGTCCCGGCAAAATCCAACAGCTCGCACACGCATCTAATGCATACGACAGCCGCCAGAGGTTTCAACACCTACGTAAAGTCAGAAGTATCATTGCTGTGCTTAAATGATTGAGGCAGAGGTCACCAGAAACCAGCAGGTGCACACGCATTACTGCATAAGACAACCCGCCAGTTCTCTGGCAACCAGCCACTCGCCAGTTTCTGAATGTGTAGTCTAATGTAATATGTGCGTAAACATTGCCGCCAATATCATTGTTAAACTCGACATTCTAGCCAGAATGGCATCTGCAAATGAAGCACATCTGCTGGTCAAAGTTTGTGAGAAGTGATTTGTTGACTGAAAGTGTACAGACAGACACTTGGATTGTCAGTTGTATAGTATCCCTGTTCATACATGAATTCTTCTTATCCTTGTTTATGCATGCAATAATCTTGCAGGAACCAGATGCGAAGTCAACATAAACGACTGTGACCCTAACCCTTGCAAGTACGGAGGTCATTGCCGAGACGGTGTCAACGCTCACAGTTGTCTGTGTATACATTCACATGCAGGCTCCAACTGTCAGTTTACCTGTAAGTAGCATTACTTCAACTCCGGGTAGTCTTGTAACTAATAGGTCACCATCGTTATCATCACATACCTTGACACCCGGTGTAGGCGTTCATGCATCTCCAGAGATCTCGGTCTTTGGTGTTCTGGATCAATACTACTCATGATATTCCTCCATGCCACTGTCCATCATTTCTCTTGGTCTGCCTCTGCCTGTTCTACCATTGATCTTTCCAGTCGTCACGATATTTTGCAGTGCTCTTTTTCTCATCACATGACCTTTTAACTTTCTTGTCTCCTTCTCGTTGTTATATACATATAGTGTTCTACTTTCATTAGCCATTTCCAGACAATCAATGTTAGCTATTCTGGCAGTCCAAGGTTTTCGCAACATTCTTCTCAAGAACCACATCTCAGTTGCTTCCAAACTCTTCTGAATTTGTTTGCTCACATTCCAAGACTCACTACCATACAACAGAACAGGCTCGATGTAACATATCAGTACTCGTTTTTTCGATGTTTAATGAGAGTGATTTATTACATAAAATATTTTTCATCTTCTGAAATGCTGCCTTTGTCTGGCCAGTTCTGCTCTTAATTTCTGTCACACATCGTTCATCTCTCTCTCTCTATCTCTCTCTCTCTCTCTCTATATATATATATATATATATACCCACTTAACCTCAATTATTATAGGAAAATATTGAAAAACTCGGTTAGTTTCAAGAATAGAGACACTGTTGTTGAAAATACATTAAAATAAATGGATAAATCTGGCATATTCGCAATTTACAAGTTACTTTAAAAATCAAAATCTACATTTACCGAGGGAGACAAGACTCTAGTGCCCCCCCCCCCGCCCCCAATCGTCTGTCCAATATATTCACCAGTTCACTTCCACTTTATGAAACTAATTTTACGTTCAAATTTGCACCCCCACCCAGTGGACCTATTCTCGCCAATCCTGGAAGACACAGACATTTCTGGAGGCATCATCCACAACCCCAGGCACACACGGAACTTGTACATCGTGGCAGGAACTCTGACTGCTGCCATCGCTGTCATGGTGCTGGTTCTCATCGCCTGCTACTGTCGCATCAGTGGTAGCTACCGCAGCTGCTGCGGCGTGTCCAAGTTTCATCTCTACAGGCGTTACCGCGAGTGAGTACATATTTGATTTCTTTTTTGTTTTTGTTTCTGCATTCGCTCTAAAATGGCGGTAGGCACGTTTTTGTGTGGTTTAAAGCTAAGCTGCGCCCCCATTAAAATAGGGTCCCGAAACCTAACATAGGTAATCTTCAGTTTATTCAGTCATCTAACGCCTTACGGGAACTGCCGTGGTGAAGCGGCTAGGAGCTCGTCTGCAGATCCGAATGTCGTAGGTTCAGATCCTGACAAAGCAAAAAATTTTTTTAATGACCTTGACTCCCAGGTCGACTCAGCCTTAAATGGGTACCAGATAAAGACAAGGGAAGTAAAGGCGGCTAGTGTGATATTGACCACATCACCCAGCGAGTGTTGATTGGTCTATAGAATATAGGTCAAGTCCTGTATGTCTAAGGCGCCTGATGGCCTGAAAAGGGGTTTCTTACTTTAATTTTTTTTAACAAGTGACTTGCCCACTGGTATGGGCGATCAAGCTTCCTGCATCTCGCTGTCTTCAATCAATTTTTGTTTTGACACTTTTTTCATGACTTCTTATAGACCATTCCGTGTGTCATTGACACTCATGTCTATCCACAGCGTCGTGTACTGCCAATAATGTCTGGGGGGGGAGGGGGGCGGGGGGGGGGGGGAATGGTCTTCCTTATCATGATCTCAAACTGTCCAGCATCTTACCTTTTGATCTCTCTCTGTCAGTCTTGCTCTTATGTCAGTTGCCCGCCTGCACGATGTTCTCATTCCCATGATGTGACCAGACATTGTAGATTTGTCTCCTTCCCATGAAGTGACCAGACATTGTAGATTTGTCTCCTTCCCACGATGTGACAAGACATTGTAGACTTGTTTCCTTCCCATGATGTGACCAGACATTGTAGACTTGTTTCCTTCCCATGATGTGACCAGACATTGTAGATTTGACTTCTTTCCATGATGTGATCAGACATTGTAGATTTGTTTCCTTCTGAAGTGGTAATCAGTTCTGTCCAGGGTATTAATTCCTTTCAAGACATCGTCATTAGACATTTTATCTGTCTATGATGTTTTCATCTATGAAAACCATATGATGCTTCTACGCAATTCCACGCCGTTGGTGTTAGCTCTACAGCTGTAGCTAAGTGCATTGTGAACTGACAGAAAACGGTGACAGAGGGTGTCGTTTCCGGAAAACGGTGACAGAGGGTGTCGTTTCCGGAAAACGGTGACAGAGGGTGTCGTTTCCGGAAAACGGTGACAGAGGGTGTCGTTTCCGGAAAACGGTGACAGAGGGTGTCGTTTCCGGAAAACGTTGACAGGGTGTGTCGTTTCCAAAAAACGGTGACCGAGTTTTTTTTTTTTTTTTCTAGAATACGGTGATAGAGGGTGTCGTTTTCAGAAAACGGTGACACTGTGTCTTTTTCAGAAAACGGTGACAGAGGGTGTCGTTTCCAGAAAACGGTGACAGAGGGTGTCGTTTCCGGAAAACGGTGACAGCGTGTGTCTGGAGACTTGCTTAGAAACACGCGTGCCCTGAAGAGAGCGGTGTTCTGTAAATGACCTGTTGATTGATGATGATGACGATGATGATGATGATAATGATAATAATGTTCATACATGTTCAGTTAAATTCGGTGGGTTTTTTTCAGGGAAGGGGGTATGTGGGTGAAGTTTGAGCCCAAGTTATCTTATTTTTTAAATCCGTGTTAGTAGGGATTCAAACATAGACCACCAAGCCTGCAGGCAGACGTTCCAGCCACTGCACCATCAATCCACTGTTGACAAACGGTTGTAAATTCCGACGGCAGATTCTGGCTGTTCATCCACTTCTAGACTTTGCTCTTGTTTCAGAAAGTTTTAAAGATCTGACTTATTTGTATGAAAGACTGTTGATTTCTCGCCTTAGCCAGATACACACCAACTTTCAGAGAAAATATTACCTGATTAGTCCACTTCTACGAATGCTGGCTAGAGGGTGTAGTGGGTCTGTTTTCCTCCCTCCAAAAATGGGGTCCTAGAGACCCACACACGGATAACAACCAGTTCAAGAAATAACTAGGCACAAACTGATTGAAAGTTTCACAGAGGCAAAGGAAAAGAAACAAGCTTGTGCCAACGTTTCAACCAGTGTCTTTTTCGTGTGGATTCCGGGGCTCCAACTGGGTGGTGGGGTGGGAGAGGGGGGGGGGGGGCTAAAGAATGGACTGCCCCCTAACAAACATGTCGTAAAAGGCGACTAATTACGGTTTTCTCTTGGAGCACATCTGCTTGACAGGCAAGGAAACGTTAGTCTGCATACAAATAAGCCAGATCTGTGAAACGTGCGTGCATGCAAGACTCGTTTTATGGAACGAGACTCAAGTCCAGAAGTGGACGAACAACCAGAACTTGCCTCCGGATTTTAGAGCCCGATGAACGTTAAAAGAAGAACAGACTAGTCTTTATCAACGGATAAAACATTGTGATGAACAGCCTAAAAGTTCGACCTAGCGCAGTAAAAACGAAACTCGAAATTCTGTCTGTATTTACCACCCTGGGGGAGGTGTATGACGGAAAGGAGCGGGCTAGGGGTAGTGAGACGGAGGATTTAGGGTTGCATGGCTAGTATATGTGCAGATTAGGATTACACACACACACACACCCACACACACATGCAAACACCCACACACACACATGCACACACACCCACACACACACACACACACACACACACACGACAAAACTAACACACAGTAAAGAGCATCTGTATTCCTTACTAGGGATCAAACCCGGACCTCCTGTATGAGGAGAGCGCAGCGCTTTTAACGCTGTCCCAGGCTGGTTTCAACTGTAAGTCGTGTTTACAATAAATAATAAAATTATCACCACTTGGTACCTTCAGTGACATCGATTTTTTTCAATTTCTCTCACCCAGGGACATGACACTGAATGTTGATGTCACCAGTGCATCTGACTGCCCTCTAGCGGTGGACGCATTCTGGAGATCTTTGGACAGTGAGACGGAGGCTTTGAGTAGCAGCTCATCAAGACAGTCCTTTCAGAACCACACAGTCTGATCAGGTTTTGCTCTGTCCCGACCTGAAGATCATCAACTGAACTGTTGTCACTTTCTACAACTTCTGGTCCAGGTCTAGAGCCACACACTGAACTCTTGTCACTTTCTACAGCTACTGGTCCAGGTCTAGAGCCACACACTGAACTGTTGTCACTTTCTACAACTTCTGGTCCAGGTCTAGAGCCACACACTGAACTGTTGTCACTTTCTACAACTACTGGTCCAGTCTAGAGCCACACACTGAACTGTTGTCACTTTCTACAACTACTGGCCCAGGTCTAGAGCCACAAACTGAACTCTTGTCACTTTCTACAACAACTGGCCCAGGTCTAGAGCCACACACTGAACTGTTGTCACTTTCTACAACTACTGGCCCAGGTCTAGAGCCACACACTGAACTGTTGTCACTTTCTACAACTACTGGCCCAGGTCTAGAGCCACACACTGAACTGTTGTCACTTTCTACAACTACTGGCCCAGGTCTAGAGCCGCACACTAAACTGTTGTCACTTTCTACAACTACTGGCCCAGGTCTAGAGCCGCACACTGAACTGTTGTCACTTTCTACAACTACTGGCCCAGGTCTAGAGCCACACACTGAACTGTTGTCACTTTCTACAACTACTGGCCTAGGTCTAGAGCCGCACACTTCCTGGAGTACTGGCTATATGGTGCTAGCCTCATTTGTGTATAAATCAAAAGCGGCTCTGAGGCTCTTGCAGTAATACTGTATAACACAGACAGCCTTTATTGCCCGGAACATTTCCTGGTACTCAATTCCGACTGGGTCGACCTGGCGAAACTACATTAATTTAAACTAGTCACTGTCTCTGTGGTTACAGGCGCTATATTTCTAGACAATGTATTGATCGGCACTAACAGAAATAAACAGACAGATAGAACGACTCACTAGCCAACATAACAATCTAAAGCTATAGTTACCGTGCCGGGAATCGAACCTGTCACTTCCACATGGCGTGTGTGCCTCGCTATAGAAACAAGTTTATGTATTTATATATGTAAGTTGTACCCCACCAGGACATCACACAAAGCGATAGACACCCGGTGACACAAATTGCCACGATGCGGATGAGCATCATCCACGGAGAGGTCCCAGAAACCCATTTCTGCCGTTAGGCTATATTTATGGTCCGGTTATATTCAGGGCCCCCGGCAAAAGCCAGGGTGGGACTTCGAATATCGAAAAATTGCATCCCCCATGGGGACCACTACATACATCCACAATGGCCCAAGATGTGAATTTTTTTTTAAACAACAAAAACTGTTTACCTAAAAATTACTAAGTGTGCTGCCTTACCCTGGCTTGAGAATCAGCTGTCCATACATGTCGTAACTGTAACTGACCCACAGAGCATGTTGAGAAAGATGGAGATAGGCATGCAGAGTTGCAAGCATAGCTTCAGAGATCCCGCGTTGTTAGCGACTTTTTGGATATTTTCTCCAGGGAATGCCAGTGTGTTTGGAATCGAGCAGGCAGATAAACTGGCCGGTTCAGCACCATTTGATGGTGAATTGGTGTATGTCAGGCTAAACGTTGTCAGGGCCCTTTGGGAGCGAGGAAGCAGTGCGGAGGCACAAATAGATCAGTGATTGTCATCTGAGGAAAATGACGCTGCGAGGAGTTACCAGGGGATCTGGCCGACGATCAACACTCAAGGGAAAGGCGAGTCGGATGTACAATCAGACAGTTACTGGTACTATCGGAATTTAAACTTTCCGCTGGCTGCTGAAGATGGGTTTATGGGAGTGTCCTGGGTGCTAAGATAATGATTCTTAAACTGTACCTAAATACCGGCAATGACCTGCCAATTAGGGAGTCGCGGTAGAGTAGTGGCTAGCCAGTGTTTTCCAAAGTGGGCGCTAGGTGATACATAAAAAAAAACAGGAGGCGGTGGACCACAACAGTTTTAGAAACACTGGGCTAGACCACAACCGTCTTAACAACATTATGGGCCCCCGGACAAACCAGAGTGCTGGGGCCCTTCGAAAACCGCTAACAGGAATTACATTTGTATTTTAGGCAAGTCATAGATTAGCATGGGGCTCTTTTGGTCGTGGGGGAGCCGAGAAAGTTCCCAGAAGGCCTAAGTGTCAAGACACCCCAGGTCTTGACGATGGCCTATCAGTTTATTTTATGACAACAATTTTATGGAAATACACGCCTCCTTGAAAACTGCATATACTGTATGGGCAGTTTAATCACTGATACTTGTGTATTGAACAAGGCGTTTGCTAAGTCTTACTACACTATGCAGAATAAATTTGAAAATAAATTAATAAATAAACGAAACTTCAGGTCCTCAAACATTTGCTTAAAAAAGTCATTAAATTGGTTAAAATAGACGCTGCTAAGCACAAACGCTGTTTTAGTGGAACTGGAAAGTACCAGTGAAATATTCCTGACAACAGCTGTTGAAAATGCCCGCCACGGGCTTCAAGACATGATTGTATACATCTCTTCATTTTGTAATACCTTCTGCGACGTGTCTGTTGTTTCTTGAATGGTAATTCTGAATGCTTTTTCCAGGTGCCCCAGTTGTGTGTACATTGTTTTTTAAATACGTCTTTTAAAGAAACTTCATAGATAATAATCTAACAGTTAGATCAGGAGAACGAGCAGGCCAGGAGATATATGACTTGTAAATGTTTCGAAACTTGTTCAGCCCAAAAAATATGTCTTCCGTTGATGACACTATTTTGTGATTAGTGCAGTGAATTACTCCAGCAGTCGACAGCCATTCACTTCATATTGCTTCGACTGTTGAGCACGTTTTTTGATGACGTCATGTAAGTACATTTTTTTCCCCAATTTGTTTTACACACAAAGTGTAGATAGATTTTACGAACACCTTATCAAAATTTTCTGGCCAGATACAATCTCAAATACTAAACTACTTCAAACCACAAACCAAGAAACTTTAGACAGTATGATTACCAAGAGAAGATGGAAATGGCTTGGCCACGTTATGAGAATGACTTCTGATATACCTGCCAAAACAGCTCTCACATGGACACCAGAGGGAAAGAGAAAACAGGGGCGCCCAAAAACAACATGGAGACGAACGATGGAAAGTGACCTGAGTGCGGCATCTTTGATATGGAAAACTGCATTGAAGATTGCACAGGACAGGAAAGCATGGAAAGTCCTCTCTGAAGCCTCATGTGCCACTAGGCATAACGAGAACTGATGGTGATGATGATGATTAAATTTACTAGGTACCTTTTCTGGCTCAACAAGGTAAAGAATCCTGTTGTGCAAACATTCTTTTTTAATATATTAATCCTGGATGTGTGATGTGATCAACTGGACCGCCTTTAGTTCCCATGGTACCCGCTTGAAGGCTGAACGACCTGGCAGCTAAGCTATACTGCGAATAAGAAAAGTCATGTTGATTATGTGGATTTGAACCCACGAAATTGTGAGCTAAGCGAGTGTCTTGGCGCTAAGCCACATTCTGACATACTTTGGTTTAATCTTCGTCCTATATGGCGATCAGAAAATGTTTATCGATTCAGGTGTGTCGTAACCTGGGCCCAATTCAGCCTCACCTTCTCTCTGAGGGATAAAGGGAGGGGAAAGGGGAGGGGGTCCAACTCCCCCCCCCCCCCAGAACATGCGTAAAGTGGCTAAGTAGCTCAGATAACGGTGTACAGAAATTCTTGTTTAAATAATGACTCGATATATTTCATAACAGTTCAGCTAGACATGTATTGTTCTAACTATTTGCCATTAGACACAAATCAATTGTAATAAGTACTGTATACAACAGGGACCGTGTTAGATTACAGAGATGAGAGCCGGGTTGATCATGTTTCGTGCTAGGTATCAGATGCTTGCTTGTGAATGAAAGAGGTACATTTTATTTGTATATAAATATATAAAAGGATTTTTTCCCCCTGGCGGTGCCGGCTATTTTTTTGTTTAAAAATATATACAAGGCCTTTTTTCCCTGGCGGTAAGCGGTGCCGGCTATTTTTTTGTTGTTTATAAATATATACAAGGCTTTTTTTTCCCTGGCGGTAAGCGGTGTCGGCAATTTTTTTATATAGCTTTACTGCAATAAGCACTTGGTGATGTGTGCCGGCACCTTTTTATTCCTAGAAACAAAAAAGTATCACTGTGTGAGTGGGTGTATAAAGCGTGAGTGTTGGACACTGACCTGTCAATCCCACTGTCTAACAAGAAGGTTTCATACCTACATCGAGGCAGATTTTTTGTTTCCAAACGACCTCAGCTTTAAAGTTGACCCAGCCTAAATGAGTAGTGGGAAATGTTCTGAAATGTAAAGGCAGCTGGTGTAATGTCACCCATCGTGTGCCAGTTGTCAGCTACTAGTTTTTTCTGGGTGTGTCTGGTTGCGAGACTAGCTCAACTTTTTTTGAGTAACATTGTGTAATGACATCAACGTCTTTTGTCCCAGCCGTTCTAGTTTATGTTAGCTAATGGTTGTGTGCATAAAAGTTGAAATAACACAAGTGTAGAACAGCAGGGGCTAAGGGGCTAATCTACTAAGCAAGGAGGGAGGCGACCCAAAAATATATATATAGTGAGTATAAGTGAAAAGTTCCCTGCTGAACTGCAAAAACACAGAATTTGTAAAGGATTGACAAGCGTTATACCAGAGCAGGGACCATGAAATATTACTCATGGCCTAGGCGGTGAATAGTGAGTTAAACAATAACATATAATCACATAGGCAGCACCTAGACATACCTTATACATGAACTACACACACGTTCTGTTCTGAATCAAACAAATGAAATTTAATAATCACATTCAACATGTTTATTTTCCTAAACTTAAAACTAGCGTGCTTTGCAAATAATAATGCATTAACAATATTATGTGCTAAAGACTCTAGCTTACAAAGATGAGAGTTTGTCTTCATTTGTAAGCAATCTACAATCAAAAATCTGCATGCAAGGATGCATATGGCAATTTAGTTCTAGCACAATCCATATACTGAACATAAAACTCGC